GAAACCCCCTCTCTACTAAAAATATAAAAAATTAGCACATGCCTGTAGCCCCAGCTACTCGGAGGCTGAGGCAAGAGAATCGCTTGAACCCAGAAGGCAGAGGTTGCAGTGAGCCGAAATCGCGTCACTGCACTCCAGCCTGGGCGACAAAGTGAGAATGTCTCAAAAAAAAAAAAAAAAAGCATATGAGAACATGCAGCCCAATGTGCCCCCACTGCCTCGAGAGTAGACCGAGTAGGAAAAAGAGCTGAAGTAGTATAATACAGATAAAACCCTATTAGTAATAACAAATGTAACAATGAAATTTTTCTGTATAAGAAAAATATGTCTAAATCTTCAGTCTCAATTCATTCCAGCAACACTGAAAGACAACTAGAGCAATTTCTAGTTGTTTGTTGTAATGTTTAGAAATCGCAGCTCTATCAAGAGCATCTGAAGGCACAGTTTGATGAATACACCATATATGAAGTCAAGAAACTAAAAGGTAGCCAGTGGGAGAGCTCTCCTAGCAACTTTTTTTTTTTTTTTTTTTGAGACACAGTCTTGCTCTGTCTCCCATGCTGGAGTGCTGTGGCATCTCAGCTCACTGCAACCTCTGCCTCCCAGCTTCAAGCAATTCTCCTGCCTCAGGCTCCAGAGTAGCTGGGAATACAGGCGTCCTGCCACCATGTTCGGCTAATTTTTGTATTTTTAGTAGAGACAGTTTCACCATGTTGGCCAGGCTGGTATTGAACTCCTGACCTCAAGTGATCCACCCACCTTGGCTTCCAAAGTGCTGGGATTATAGGCGTGACCCACCATGCTGGCCAACTCTGTCTTAAGAGCCGAGTTCAATCCCACATTTGGCTACGACTAACATGTTTTCAGTCAGGAACAATAATTCCAGGTTGACAAGGTTAACTGTAGAGCCAGGGAGAGACTTTTGTGATGTAGCTTTTCAAAAACATTATTTAAATTCATTATATTACAGCATGGTATCAGTCTCACCGGCCACAGCTCGTGTGTAGCCTTGGAGAGATAAGAAGGTATAAAGAAAACCAAACCTTTCCCTGCAATAAAATTATGTCTCCTGTCCCCAGTCTCATGAGAAGGGGAAAAAAGTTTTTCTACTTGATCTTTACAGGCCTTCATACAGCTAAATGAACTAAACAATACGTAAATTCTGTATTCCTAAATTAGTCAAATGACTTTAGCTCAGGAAACTTTTTTTCCCTTTTAGGCAGCAGCATTCAAAGAATCAATCCAGACTCACAATGGGAACCCTACCCAAAATCCAAAAGCTTTGGCTGGAATCAGACCAATCTGAGATATACCCTATTTAACCATCACTTGGCTTCTCTCTTCTGAAGTTAGTTAACTATTATGATAAAAAACCCGGCCAGGCGCAGTGGCTCACGCCTGTAATCCCACCACTTTGGGAGGCTGAGGCGGGTGGATTGCTTGAGGTCAGGAGTTCGAGACCAGCCTGGCCAACAAGATGAAACCTCGTCTCTATTAAGAAAAAAAAACAACCCACAGGGTGCAGTAGCTCACACCTGCAATCCCATTCTGGGAGGCTGAGGAGGCGGATCACAAGGTCAGGAGTTCGAGACCAGCTTGACTAAGATGGTGAAACCCCATCTCTACTAAAAATAGAAAAATTATCCCGGGTTCAGTGCACTCAGTTAAAAAAAAATATATTAGCCAGGCATAATGGCGCACACCTATAATCCCAGCTACTCAGGATAATTGCTTGAACCCGGGAGGCAGAGGTTGCAGTAAGATTGGGGCCACTGCACTCCAGCCTGGGCAACAGAGCAAGACTCCACTCAAAAAAAAAAAAAAAAAAAAAACCACACAAAAAAAAAAAAAAAAAAAAAAAAAACCTGACACATCAAAGTACCACCACGTATTTCTTAAGAAAAGTCCAGGCAGAGCATTATCTTTATAACATAAAATGCTTCATTTCTCACATAGCTAGCCTTTTTCCAACATTTATCTGGATCCTCTCATTTCACCCTAACACTATGATTTTAGCAGTCTTCTCACTCCTATTTCACAAACCAGGAAACAGGCTTAGAGGAGCTAATGTTAACTGATCACACAACTAGTTAATCCTAGAGCTGGGATATGAACCCTAACCCCTCCACAATCCGGCCCCCTCTTACAGTTCTCCTCACACAGTCCCCTCTTGTAAAGCACTTCTGCAAAAGAACTGCTGCTGCTTTACAAATATTAGCCTCATTCTCACAGCATCTCTTACAAAATGGCAAATAAGTAATCTATGGGGAAGGCCTTGTAACTTGCCACCAAAGTAACTATTGCCATCTGTGGGGCAGGCAGTTACAAACAAGCAGCTTGCCTTTTATCATATCCAATCAAGATGTTTTGGTTTTTGAAACTTTTAGAAAAATCTACTCAATGCCACCTCTAGTACACAGCTTTACCCTAAACCTTTGCTCCTGAGTGTGACAGAAAATAAGTCATGAGAATAGAGGATGTTCTTTGTCAAGTATTCATTTTAATCTTCTACAAAATTTAATTCTTATCCTCTGGTCTCTGAATTGTTAAATATTAAATTGTTAAAAGATTACTGTGTTACAGAGAACAGAACAGCCTGAACAATGATCCTCATAATCCTTCAAAATAAAATGTGGCAAAAGAAAGTGTGCTATGTATCCAATTAAACAGAACATACGGCTTATAGCAAAAAAAAGAGGCTTTAACTCAATGGTTCAACCTCACTACAAATAACTAAATTTTAATAAAGCTAAACAATGTTTTAGAAATTGCTTCATTTTGTATTTTCTTTTTTCTAAAGACAAGAAACCAAGGCTTTAAATTCCCAATCCTTAAACGTTCTTTTCTAAAACTGGGGTGAAATCAATTATTCTAGAGTGCAAATATTCATAATTTTTAATTTTTTGCTAGGCCAACAGCTGGCAATTATTGAGCTTTTTTTTTATTTTAATCCCAGGGTGGATACTTTGTTTAGGGATACAGTGAAGCACTCACTTGTCATACAGACCTGGATTCTGTGATTTTGCCACCTAGCCAAATATGTGACAGTGGTAGTTTAACCTCACGTGTTTTCCTAACCATAAATTGGGCATAAACACCTATTTTAAAAGCTGTTGCAAAAATGAGGTAATGAAGGTAACTTTCAGCAGTGTCTAAACACATGGTAAGCCTTCAGGGTCAAGCTATTGCTTTCCCAGAGGAAGTTGGCATTTTCTTAGTATTCATCCCATAAAATGTCTTAATATTACATTGTATTAGCATATGAATGTTTATAATGGACTAAAGCATTCTACGAAAGCGGCAGGTCACCAGAATAAAATCAAGTTTACAAAATGGGAGAATTCAAACATGGCAGTTGTGGTTCACCAAACTGCTTCAGTAATTAAGTTCTGGAAGGTCATTTCTCTAAATATGATGACTATGTCTCTATGTACCTTTCTACCAAGTGAACTCGGAATGCTTTACATACAACTGAATACAGATTATTTTTATTTGTAGTGTTATCGTGGTTTTGTGACTGAAGGGGACAGGTCTATACTTTTGAAGGGGATCTTGTCTCTTGAAAGGCTTATGTTACTAAATCTAAAAAATCCTGTTTCTAAATGAGAAGCTTGCTCCCCTCCAAAAAGGGACTTACGGAGGATTGGTGTAATTGAATGCTTCCAAACTTCAGTGAAGTGTGTTTAAACACGTGTGTGGATGCTATGCATACACGTGATACTTCCCATCACATTTTAGGATTCCCAAGTTGGAGGGAATCAATTACTGGTATTTGTACCAATGGGTGGAAAAGATGGCTTCAGTCGATCTGAGTTACTGCAGTTTTCTCCATCTTCTGCTACTCTGCAGTCCCATCCTTAGCTTGTCCTCCTCTTAATGCTACCGCCCCCTGTCTTCCCCCAAACCTTTTCCTTTCTAGCTCGGCGTGGGGTCTCCCTCTAAGCTCTTCCTCCGCCCCCCCCCCGCCCCGCCCATCTTCTCCACCCACTCCCTCTCGGCCCCCACCGACCCTTTCTGCTAGAACTACAAACACTTCCTATTTCTAGTCCCACACACTTTCTGGGACTTCTCAATCCGCTTCCCCACTATCCTACACCCGCCTCCAAATTACAAGCTGTTTAACCCCTTTTCCTGCCTCCCAGGGAAACAATTCATTAAACCGCCTTCCTCCACACCACCCACTGGAGTGGTCCTCCAAACCGTTCATCCTCCTCCCAAAAGATTACCCTTTAAACGTCTTTTCTCTACCACCCTCCTTCTCTAAATTGTTCCCGGTTCTCAATAACTTGACTCTTCCAGAACCCCACCCCACTAGTCTCTCGGCTTCCCACCCACAAAAGAGCCTGGAGTCACTCTCCAACCGCCCTTCCAATTAGCTCTCCCAGAAGCCTCCCCGCTCCACAATTACAAATGTTCCCTAGAACAAAATCTCACGGTCCTACCCCCCACCCCGAAGTCCCCTTTCTGCTATTCCCGCTACTTCCTAGGTTCCAGTTCTACCCCGCTCCCGCAAGCACAGCGGGCTGGGCTCCCTCCCAACCCCGGGAAGATCCCCTTCCCGCACGTACCTCGAGGTTCCGGCCCGCGCCGCCCCCTCTCCGTCCTCAGCCCGCGCTCGGCCACACTTTCCGCCCTTCTCCCGCTCCGCCTTGCTCACTCCCTTCCTTCCCTCGGCCTTCCGTCTCCACACCGCTCCCTTCCCCCACGCTCCCGGCCCTCCCACCCCGGGGGCCCCTTCGGGCTCGCCCCCACCTCTGCGCCGCCCTCCCGCCGCCCTCCCCCTACCCGGCTACCCCTCCCCCGCCCGCGCTCCCCGCCCCTCGGCTCGCCATTCTTCTCCCCAAGCCGCGCGCCCCGCCCGGCCCCGGCTCACTAGCTTCCCGCTCCCTCGCGCCCTCGCCCGCATCCCCAGCTCGGCCCTCGCTCCCCGCGGCCTCCCGTGCCCCCCCGCCCGCGGCCTGACCTGCAATGGCGGCCGCCGAGCGCGGCGCCGCGCGGCCAACGGGCGACAACCGAACCTCCCGCCGCCGTCGCCGCCGCCGCGAGCACTGCCTGCGCACTTCCGGCTATGCGCCAGGAGCACTTCCGGGGCAAAGCCTGAGAGCGCGCGCGCACGTGGGGCCAGGTCGGAGAGAGGTGAGCGCCGGGAAGGAGAGCGCGGGGCAGCTGGTTAGTTGGGGAAAGGGTGTGGGAAGCGGGTGGGAGAGCTGGGGGTCTGATAGGGTGCGCCGGCCCAGGGTCGGCGAACTGCTGAGCTCCTTTCCTCGAGGGTCTTCTTGTACCCAGGCTGGGTGGGGGCTGCTCTTTAAACTCTAGGAGAAGGAAGTGGAGGCGAAGACCGCGCGCTTCACACGCTCTTGTAATCGGGCCGGGCCGAGCCTGGCCTGACAGAACGCGCCTGCTCTGTCTGCGGGTTCCTAACCTTGAAGCTAGACGAGTCAGAGGCGAACAAGACTCGGTTTCTATCCTCGCCTGGTTTGTATGTTGGCGGGCGTGAGGGATAGGGTGACAGACGTCAGACCGGGCAGCCAGAGTAAGTCAAGCACTATTGCTTTTTCCTCAAGAGGAGCTCGGTTCTGCCTGCACCATCAGCCCCACTGTCACTACATCTGTTTAGACCTTTTGTGTGCAAACTTAGCAATAGAGTTGAGGAGAGATGCTTGCTAAAATGCAGATTCCTAGGCCCCCCCCGAGATTGGAATTCTGGAGCTCTGGAGTAGGACCCTTATTGTTTTTTTGCTGAAGCCTCGTTATTCAAACCATCCTGAGCTATCGAAGATTGAACGATTCTTGTGGGGGGCATTGTTAGTAGATGAACTTCAGGAGATGCAGTTGGAGCCTTCCTTCCAGAACAGTGATAGTAAGGAACCGAATACTGTATGTGACATACTGCAGTTAACATTGAACAATAATGACTCTTTTTTCCCTCTATAGGAATGGGTGAATTTAAGGTCCATCGAGTACGTTTCTTTAATTATGTTCCATCAGCAATCCGCTGTGTGGCTTACAATAACCAGTCAAACAGATTGGCTGTTTCACGAACAGATGGCACTGTAGAAATTTATAATTTGTCAGCAAACTACTTTCAAGAGAAAGTAAGTCATTTGGGAGGCTGATATGGTGTTTTGATGTTAATTTCTTCTGAAGTTCAAGAAACTTGTATATGTTTTATAATCAAACTAATAGACTGACTCCCTCGCCCCTCTGAAGTTGCTTAGAATTACCGAACTTCTGAGATCTGTCTGACTGGTTGGATTAGAATGTTGATTAGAAGGGTCCTACCTAGAAATGTGTCATCTCACTGCCTGTCATTGGAAACAGGTTTGCTGGATCTTTTGGCTGCAAGAAGGGAAATTGTTGGTCTATCAGTCTCACCACCATTGTAGCTTTGGTAAGCAACATTTCCTGCTGGGAGTGTCAGTACCCATTCATTGTCAATTCAGAAAAAATGATAACACATTTTAATATCAGAAACTTTTTGGTGACATGATGGCAGGAAGATGGATTCCAAAGTTGATCTGTCTGAGAGAATGTAGACCTACCTGCCTACATTTGGGAGTAAAGGAGATTTAAAATTAGGTAAAATGTCCTTTGGGTGTATGTGGAAGGCTGTTAGTTCTTTTTCACACCCCCTCCAAGAGCAACGACAAGTGATTCTCTTCAGGTACAACATCTTAGTTCATATTGCGTAACTATTGTGTACTGGGCACTGTGATATAAATGGATGGGCAAATGAGTGAATTCAGTCCCCAGCAGCCTGGTATTTGGAATTTAGGAATTCTGTAAATGTTTCTCAGTAAAGGAGTGGCACTAAGACAAACGTTAGAAGCCCTACCTTTATGGAATTCAAAGACCAGTGGGAGAAAGTTAAGTATACCGTTTCCAACCTGTAAAATAAATATGATAAACTGTAGCACGGCATAGAACCTTAGTGGAGAATTGCCTCCCCTGAGAGGTAGGTTTAGGGTTTAGGAAATGTGGAAAGGGATGACTTACTGAGTTCACTCCTGAAGAACTAACAATTTAAAAATTGCAGGCCCGCCGCAAATAGGTTACATTCTGTGGTATGAAGAACATGCACTGGTGTGTGCCTATTGCATCTGGTGATTTCCTTTCTTCTTTGTTTTTTGAGATGGAGTCTTGCTCTGTCCCCCAGGCTGGAGTGCAGGGGCGCAGTCTCTGCCTTCCAAGTTCAAGTGATTTCTCCTGCCACAGCCACCCAAGTCACTGGAATTACAGGCATGCACCACCACGCCTGGCTAATTTTTGTATTTTTAGTAAAGACGAGGTTTCACCACGTTGGACAGGCTGGTCTCAAACTCCTGACCTCAAGTGATCTGCCTGCCTCAGCCTCCCATAGTGCTGGGATTACAGATGTGAGCCACTGCGCCAGGCTGATTTTCTTTCTTTTTCTTGTTCTTTTTTGTTTTTGTTTTTGTTTTTTTACAGCCATGGCTATATTGTGATTTTTCTGTTTGTCATTTTTAACAGTTACAACTATATAATTGGTGTGTTTGTTTAATGTCTTTCTTCCATGCTGCACTTCCAATTTTATGAGAATAGGAACCATGTCAGTGATGTTCACATCTGCATTCCTACCACTTATCAAGTGCCTCGTACAAAGCCACTGCTTAGTTAATGTTTGGTGAATGGATAAGTCAGCCATTCCTTGCCTAGTGTTCCTTATTTTATTTTCTCTTTCATCTGTTTTCTTTATTCTTCAACAATTAATTAACAGGCTAGTTTTCTGCTTTCCCTGTATTTCTTTTCCTGCTAGTTAAGCTTGCTTAGCTCTGTTGGTGACTCTCAGAGCAAGAAAAAATTAGTATGTTTAAGTGAAAAGAGCTGTGTGCAGTGGCTCTCACACTGGCAACCCCAGTACTTTTGGAAGCCAGGGCAGGCGGATCACTTGAGCCCAGGAGTGCAAGACCAGCCTGGGCAACATAGTGACCAGCCCGTCCTTACAAAAAATAAATAAATTAGGTAGGTATGGTATTGTACACCCATAGTTCCACCTACTTGGGGGGTTGAGGCGGAAGGATCGCTTGATCCCAGGAGGCTGAGGCTGCAGTGAGCCGCGATTGCACCACTGCACTCTAGTCTGGGTAACAAAGTGAGACCCTGTCTCAGAAAAAAGTGAGAAGAATATAAGCGAGGAGTAAGGAGACCTTCATTCTTCTCATGCCATCAACTTTGGCACGTTTGGCAACCCACTTAACCTATGTATCTTGGCCTTTTCAACTTGAAATAGGAAAAATTATACCTACTTAGGCCCTTTGTTGTCAAGCAGGTCCAAGAATCAAATGCCTTGGTAGATGTGAAAACTTTTGGGCTGGGTACAGTGGCTCATGCCTATAATAATCCCAGGACTTTGGGAGGCCAAGTCTCACTGCAGCCTCCTCTTCCCAGGCTCAAGCAATCCTCCCCTGTCAGCCTCCGTAGTAGCTGGGACTCATAAGCGTGTGCCACCATACCCGGCTATTTTTTATATTTTTTTGTAGAGACATTGTCTCGCTCTGTCACCCAGGCTGGAGTGCAGTTCAAACCTTTTCTGCTGAAAATGTTTTGCTGAAGTAATTCTAGTAAAAGAAACAAATTTAACTCTATAAAAGTAAATAGAATTTGAGCGGAAAAAATGAAAATGTCAGTAGGCATGAGCTGATAGCACAAAACCCCACACTAGTTATTTATGGGAAAGTCATTTTTACAATGTTGCCTGTGACCGCTAAGTACCACTACCTCATGAATTTGTGGGAATGCTGACAAGTTACGGTGTTTCCGCAGTTTTTCCCAGGTCATGAGTCTCGGGCTACAGAAGCTCTGTGTTGGGCAGAAGGACAGCGACTCTTTAGTGCTGGGCTCAATGGCGAAATTATTGAATATGACTTACAGGCGTTAAACATCAAGTATGCTATGGATGCCTTTGGAGGACCTATTTGGAGCATGGCTGCCAGCCCCAGTGACTCTCAACTTTTGGTTAGTAAGCATCTATTGGTGATTCAAACCACAATTCCTCTTGTGCCCACTCAAACTTTCTTCCCTGTGCTCATAACAGAGTAACAATGCATTATGGCATGTAGCAACCCCAACTACAAGATTGAAATTGGTACTGAAGATTAAAAAAATCCCCAGCATGCTTTTTGCTGCCAGTTTGGACCTTGTTGATTCACTTACGAAATGAGAGGATTACATCAGTTCAACATTTCTCAAACTGTGTTCTGTAGAATTTGGAGATGTAGAGGTTTTTTCGTTTTGGTATGCTTTGTGTTTTATGATAAATTTCATTTCAGAAATACAGCATATTTAATCCTGCTGTAAATTCACAATGCACATGAATATAGAAGAATTCTGAGAGTGCCTTTAGCAAGTTAACCTATGCTCCTGTGTTTCAGCACAGTGTGTCTCAAAAATGTAATCACACGGCCGGGCGCGGTGGCTCAAGCCTGTAATCCCAGCACTTTGGGAGGCCGAGGCGGGTGGATCACGAGGTCAAGAGATCGAGACCATCCTGGTCAACATGGTGAAACCCCGTCTCTACTAAAAATACAAAAACATTAGCTGGGCATGGTGGCGCGTGCCTGTAATCCCAGCTACTGAGGAGGTTGAGGCAGGAGAATTGCCTGAACCCAGGAGGCGGAGGTTGCGGTGAGCCGAGATCGCGCCATTGCACTCCAGCCTGGGTAACAAGAGTGAAACTCCGTCTCAAAAAAAAAAAAAAAGTAATCACACACCGAGACCCTTTCCATAATTACCATTAGAATGGGTGCTTCCAGATCTTTAATTCTATGTGATGAGTCTGATTCTTTTTGATCTGCGCTAATTTGCACAATATCTTAAGGTGTTTCCATTTAGGTTATGATGTTAATAGGTCTTTTATTCAGGCTAAGGGTCTCCAGCAGAAGTATTCTATGAAATCCTACTTCTAACCCATATATGCAGGAATGGGGCCACTAGTTAGAACTCTTAATGTCAGTCTGTTTATTGTCTAGGTTATGAAGACTACTGAGAATACACTATCAGTTTCTTGAGAGCTAGTACCCTGTTTCTCTCACAAATGATTTTTCTCTTTTAGGGCAATGGATAACTTTAAGAAGGAAGATAGAATGAGAGAGAGAGTGTGCGTGTTTGTGTTTGTGTGTGTCTTTTTAGTCCTATAAAATGTTTACTATTTATCTTTTCTGTTTACCACCTCTTTTATCCTGTTAGGTTGGCTGTGAAGATGGATCTGTGAAACTATTTCAAATTACCCCAGACAAAATCCAGTTTGAAAGAAATTTTGATCGGCAGAAAAGTAAGGGTCATTTTTGGTGGGGTGGTAAATAGCCTTAATAAGAAGTTAGGTTTCTATGCCACTGGGAATGGGATATTTTCCCATGGATCTGGGTAATATTTTATCTCTACTGAGCACAAGGAGGGTATATGCTAGAAGCCATCCCTAGCCCAGGTTTTACCCCCTGTGTAGCATAATTGTGACTGCTTAATTAATATGGAAAACCAGAAATCCAAAAATGGAAACCTAGTGTTTCTATGGAAGTCAGTTTGTTAGTTATCACTTAATTTCGTTATGTTTTAACAAGCGTACACGTACATGTAGTCTTCAACTTTAATTTTGCTAGAGTCTCACTCTGTCACCCATGCTGCAGTGCAATGGCGCGATCTCGGCTCACTGTAATCTCTGCCTTCTGGCTTCAAGTGATTCTGATACCTCAGCCCCCCAAGTGGCTGGTATAGCAGGCATGTGCCATCATGCCCCGCTGATTTTCGTATTTTTAGTAGAGACAGGATTTCACAGTGTTGGCCAGGCTGGTCTCGAACTCCTGGCCTCACTCAAGTGATCCACCCAACTTGGCCTCCCAAAGTGTTGAGATTGTAGGCATAAGCCATTGGGCCTGGCCAGGGAACTGTCTTAATCCTTTTGGTGCATTCAAGTTAAATGAGCGAGTTTTTAAACAATCACCCATCCTTGGGCTCCACCTGGGCTGAATTGGCATTGACCCTCTAGAGCAAGGGTTGGCAGACTGTTTCTCTAAAGGACCAGCTCGTAAACATTTTAAGATTTGCTGGCCCTACATTCTCTACCAGCTCTATCAGTGTCGTGCAAAAGCGGCTATAGACAATACTGAAACAAATGAGAATGGCTGTGCTCCAGTAAAACTTTATTTACAGAAACAGTCAATGGGCCTGATTTGGCCTGTAGGCCACACACAGTTTGGTGACCCACCTTCTAAAGAACAGCAACTCTCCTGTGTATTCTATGTCCATTATTAGTAATACTTATCCTCTGCTAATCAGATTCTTGCTTCGTTTTTAATATCTCTTGGGTGTTTTT